AATTAAAGTACACACAGTTCAAGTCATTCAGTCTATGGTTCCGGCTCTAAAGTAAAAATGGGCTACTCAACAAAAGATGGCATCACTATCGAAATTACCAGAAAATAATTGTTATTAAATCATTTTATTACGCTTCGTTCAATAATAAGAATGTATTATTAGTTAATAGTAATAATATTATAATTAAAATTAAAATAGAATAGAACGAAACTTTGAAGCTTAGAAAGAAACCATCGACTGACATTGACAATTTGAACGAATTTGACGTTTCGTTATCATTATCATGTTATCGGTCGATTATTGAATTTATATACACAACCTCTTAACTTTAGTGTTCTCCCCCCATATTGTTACTCTATGTAAATTTATCCACTTAAATAACATATATTTATAAATATTGTTTTGCTGTTTTGTTTTACATTCTCAACTGAGTACTCCCGTAGTCCAACTTACCAACACCGGTTAATGTCCTATTAGAGCTTAGCGAAAATTTTTTTTTTGTTTCGTTTTTTTTTCTTTCAACTGTGACATTGGCAAAATCATCAGTTCTCATATTGATGGAGCCATAAAAATAAAAAGTGAAGTATATACACAAGTAACGAAAACAAAGCAAGTAAACGGAAAACCACCATGAGCGACTTGTTGGACGATGATTTGGAGTTCCGTGGCGGTACCCTTCAGCTATCAACCGAACATCTCCTTTCTGGGGGCACAGAAAACACTCAGAACAATGGGACGGAGACATCTGGTGTAACCACACACATGAATCCAAACATGTCTGTTTTATCCGGTGCCGATTCCTTATCGTCATCAACGTCATCTTTTATTGGTGAGCAACATGATTCAAATAATTAATTTCTATCTAAAATCAATATTTTACACACTATGTTAACCTACGCAAGTTACGACTTTGTTATGATGAAAGATTTGTTTTGCTTGCTAATTTTTGTTCTGGACCTTTTTTTTATGTATGGCTTTAGTTATTTAAGCTGTTATGACAAAAAGAACCCAAAATGTATCATAATCATTGAAATGTTATTTCAATTTACATTCAATTAAAATGTGATATGCTGATTATGTTGATAAATTGTTTAGTTGCCGTAGAGCTTATCAATGAATCTTGTTGAGGTACCATAAACAGCATGCTACCATACCATTGAACCCCACATGTGTAGAGAATTGAACTTGTCCCTAATTAACGCTTCCAGGTGGCTGTTTAAACGAAAAGCACTTTAAAAAGTTTCCTTATTAAAATAAGCACATAAGCACGCTTTTTATTTTAAGCGCAAGCATTGGTCAGTTCTATAATCAACAATTTCATTTTTTTACGACGTGCCTAAACTTCACTTCATTATTTGTTAACATAGATGCAAGAAGTAGAGAACCAACAAATGTTGAGGCATCTGATGAGGCGCAGACGGTGTACCCTCGCTATGACGTGCCTTTCAACCAAGAAAACATCAAGGACTTTTTCACATTCCGCAAAGGTGTTGTGGAAACTGCGATTCAGGAATGCATTACGGGTTTATTGTTCCCAGAAGACGGGGAATATTTGGGATCTTGGTTGTTGACTGAGTATGTTTTTTTATTTACCTAAATCACCTACCATTACAGACATAACCTATGTGATAGCGTGCAAATCCATATGTAGATATTTATATTAAATCCATCATTACAAAGAAACTAGCAATATATGTAATGTACTCACTACAAATTATTATAATATGGGTACTTTGCAAATAACATATAGTGTTGTTCTTGTGGATTCACACAGAGTACATTTAAACAAGTCTTTTCTGTCTGCAACTTCATTCAGGATTCCCAAAGGTTGTGTAATTGTATTTACTTTGCTAGGCCTTTCTTTGTATCTACATACATCTTGAACATAGGAGGCAATCTATCAATACTTTCTATGCCATATGAAACAATAATAATAACGCTCACACTAATAGCCCCACACTAGGGAACTCCTATTACCCGGGTGTCATGGGCACACTAGACACTATACACAAGCATAAATTACACAAAAACTTGTGAGGGAAATAAATATAGTCCATATAAATATTTCTCCCGATCTGGGACCTGACACTGACCATGACAGACCAGCAAGCATGGTAAACGTTCAATCACAGAGGCAATAAGCTGTAATTTATTCATAACCTTTTGATTACCAGTATTGTTTATTTTAATCAACATAAATAAGTTGTATGTTGATTCTCTAACTCAGAATCGTTGAATTTCTAATTTCTATTGCACCTCAAATATATTAACAAGACGTACTTGTGTTTACAGAATAACTCTATGGGATAATGAAAAAGAGAGAATAGTCCTCCTTACTTCGCGCCTGGTGATGACCATTAAGTACGATTTCATAGCAATGAAGCAACTCGACTTCAAGAAGACATACTTGGATGATCTGGATACTATTGTTATAGGAGAGCTTGTTTATCCACCTTCTTCATTAGTGCCGTAAGTGTTGTCTTCGTTTCCTAAACTTATTATTTTGAAAAATATAATATTACAAATAAAAACCAAACAGTATATATAAATTGTAGGCAAAGCAATTAAGTTAGTTACCTTTTTAACTGACATCAAAAAAGGAGGAGGTTCTTAATTTGACTGCTTTTTATATAATAGAATAGAATTTAAATTTGAAGAAAATATTCCACTGTAACCGGTTTTAATAAAACTTTGCTACTAGATGTAATTGCACGAACTTTTGAGGTCAGTTTTTTTTATAAAAAGTTACGATTGACTCAAAAATTTTAATATTTTGGCACGTCTTACACAGTATGAGACAAGTCAGTTGTCACTATGTCAATGTTTGTACTGTTAATTATCGACTTCTTACTGGCGAGAACTTAGTTCCTCTCCTATAGAACGTCTCGTTCTGGTGACGTTTTCAGTAACGTTCTGAGCCGAGATTTGGGCGCCATCTGGCGCCGGGTTAAGCACTTTCACTTGAGTCTTCTCGGTAAAGGAAAACATTGTGATGAAACCTACGTCTAGAAGATTCACAACCCTCTGAAAACATATGAAATCCCCAGCCGGTATTGGTCCAGCATATTGGTGGACTATGGCTTAAATCCTCCCCTGAGCACGGGTGCCCAGCAGTAGGACGTACAAATGGGTTGATGATGATGAAACCATTTTTAGGTTTTCTAGGCATCATTTTTAGGCGCATTGGAAATGAAACTGTGCTGTTCGGATCTAAAGAGAGTATATTTATTTTCTCAAACAAATTGTTTCTGGCTCTTTACACGTCCAATGGTTACTGACTGATATGGTTAAGTCATCTACCAGTTATGTTTAATATAAACGCAAACCACCCTATTCTGAACTGAATCATTACAAATATTATATAAATTAATAATATAAATATTATTAATTTAAATACTTTATTTTTATGATTATTAAAACAAAGATTGAACACATAGAAATACTTTTTCGACCTGAAAAAGATTTAAACTAACAACCATACTGCACAGGTATTGCTCTTACCAACTGAGCTATGGGTCAAGTTAGAAATGTCGAAGTTCTTCTATTTGTTTTTTGTTAAAGATATAAAAGGCATTCTGAGCCGTTAATGACATCTAGTGAGAGATTTTAGAAAAAGATATTTAACATAAAACACATAGAAGAATTTCAACGACACGATAACTTGGTAAGAGCAATTCTATGGTTAGTAGGGTCGCGGATTGAAGTCTCATCAGGTCGAAATGTTTTTCTATGTGTTCGATCTTTGTATGAATAGTCATAATAAAAACTAGTGTAGTTATTTCACAAAAAATATCAATTACAGTTTATTTTTAATTTACCAAAGAACATTCCAATTAGACATAAGCTTTACCATCTCAGTCAGCATCCAAAACGTTAATTTGTTTGAGAAATATACAGTAGCGTTTATCGGTGCTTTATAGCGCTGTTACGTTGCACAAGGCCTAACAGGAAAATGTGATCGACAGTCGCCTAAACGGCATCGCAACTGGTGTGACGACTGTGGTGAAGGACTACGTGATAGACCGCCTGTGCCGGCGGCCCTCCGGCGGTGACGACCAAAAACTGTTCGATCACAAGTATTTCCAGCCTAGGTATCTTGTGTTGCTGTAGACACATACCTTTATTATTGGTTTCTATTTCATTTGCTTGCCTTGTTTTCTTAGTTTTATATTTATCAGTATTTATGTTTTTATTTCTTAGGAATAAGGTTTATTTTAGATTCGCTGTAAATTAAAATTACCTCAGTGCTTTAAGCATGAGTCTATACGATAGAGTCATGGATAATACTCTATCAACTTGGTGTTGGGATTCAGGGGGTCTTCTCTCATTCTCCTACCGACTTCTTCTTCTTTTAAATGTTATGGCCCCATCCAATGGCCCCATCAAAGTTATCGATGATTTCGCCAGAGTTGAATTTCGACAGAATTCACTGAGAGGAGAATGTTCAAATGTACAACGACAGAGAACATACACAGACTATTACAGAAACAAATTGTATTTCTTAATAAACTTACACAGCACATGGACAAAGGGAGAATGGCCTAGGAGGAAGTTGATATTAACGGGACGGGGGATTTTAGGAGGGAGGGTATCATACAGAGGAGTGACGATACATGGTCCGAAACAATTACTGTTAAATAAATAAATAACGATAAAACAAAAGACAATATCAAGTATGAAGCTTCATTCGCATCATGCGTTTTTTTAATTTGGTCGGTTATTACTTATTTGGCTTGTTTCGGTCGGATGTCTGACGGACACGTTAGTAGATTTGATGAACAAATATAATTATGTTAAATGGGAATACCTGATATGGTTTGTAATAGCACAATTACGTGTATAGAACCGGAAAATATTTAAGAAATTATTGTGTAAATGGTCTTTGTTATTTATAACCGTAACCTGTAGCTAATTTTACGAGTTTATAATTCACCATTCGAATCAAGATGTTTATCAACACAAAAGAAGTATGAAGTGCCCAATCCGCATTGTGCTATAGTGGTGTAGTATGACCCACGTATGACCCAAACTCTCTCCTTTGATACCAGCAGTGGGGCTTATATGAGTTGATAAGACAAATATAGGTTATAACGATGAATCATTGTAGATATGACATTTTTTTTGTTTAATAGTTTTTATCGTGCGCCGCTTACGAGTAGGTATCTAGTTTATTAACTATCTTACATTCATGTAGTTTGCTTTTTTAATTTTCTTTTTGTTTTGTTTTTTAATAACACACTGACTATCATGTTTTAAAGACGAGTTAATGAAAACACGATGTTGTTTTATACCTTCACAGGTATACTTATAGATAACAGCACGTACTTAAGGATCAAATTGACTCTATACTATTTCCTATTAGACTTGTTGCCTGTACCTAGTCAGCCTAAACGCCTTGTCTTTATCACACTTGAGACTAAATACAGTCGTAACTCAAAAATTGATGGAATTGAGGGAAAAAAATACTGAGTAGATCATATGCGAATAATGTGATTATTTATATTACAATATTTAGTTATCCATTTATAAACGAGAATATAAATTTATTGGTTTCATTCAGTATTTTTTTAAATTTTCAAGTCGTTTTTTCTCATTTACCGTCCCGTCTGTTGTGGAACTTTGAGTTAGGACAGTAACTCTGATATCCACTAATTAAAACGCGGCTATGTGAAAAAAGCATTTTTTGTGATAGCATTAAAAAATATCATGAGCCAGTTTTAGAAAATTGGTTATGGTATTTGAAACAATATACCTATTGTATTTTGGTCTGCAGGAAGAAATTTCTTATAGAAATAAGCAGTACCTTTTGTTTCTGTTTTCCATTTTACCAAATGTGGTTTGTGTTTCTTGTACAATAAATATAATGTGGACAAAAAGCGTGAAGACTCAGCATTGCTAATTTTCAGTCTTCACCTATAGCTACTCGCTTGCTGCATCAGACCGGCAAGCGGAATGTATACTAAACACCAAGCAATTATTGCAGGCTGTTCGTGTTACACTATATGTAGTAGCAGTAGAGCTCCTTGTGAAAGAGTTTGCCACCTTACCTATTTCTGCCGCCAAACAGTAATGTGAACGTTACTGCGTTCCGGTTTCGAAGGGCAAGGGAGCTGGTGAAATTACATGCACACGGGACTTGTCAACTTACGTCTCAGGGGGTCGGGCGCAGTGGCAGTGCCCCTCAGATCTTTGTGATTTAAAGCTCTGAATGGCACTGCAACTGTTATGGACAGGCGTATCGCTTACCACCAGGCGCACGACTTGTTCGTACCGTCACTTAAGTGTTATAAAAAAAATGTAAAACGGATAAAAATTGTAATTAAATTCTAAAATTTTATTTCTTTAGTGTCGCTAGAGGATTTAACCACCGGCCAATTGCTACTCGATTTCTGCAAAGACAAGAGCCATGTTTACACATTTTTTTGAAAAAATATAGCGTTTTGGCATTCATATCGACCTCTTGTAAGTAGCCGCGTTTTGGTTAATGGACGGCAGCATTGGTTTCATATATCGTATACTATATGTTTATTGAGTTTGTCGCCATAACCTTCTATCTATCCTGTTTGTTGTGTAATAACACCACATAATTACGTCACTAATTCTATAATCATATATTCTAGCTAGCTACGGCATTGTATCTCTAATAATGAATTTGGTTAACGTAGCATTTATTAGCAATAATGTTTTTATTACCCAGTAATTTCGTTGGTTGACCCGGACACTTGGGAATGCGACATAGTGACTTGATTAACATGATATAACTTTATAGCTATTTCCTGTCGTGACAATGTCTGGATAAGATCGTGATAAACGAAAGAACGTCTATGGAAATAGAAATTTATTTATAAATATATACATTACGATTTTTATGAAGATCGATTCAATTGCATACGATTTAGCGATTTTTTGAATCGATTCAAAAATTTAGGCGAATCAAAAGATCGTATTCATAATTTAAACAGAGTCTCCTCTTATGAATGATTTCGTCAAGTATACAGAAACGGAAATAAAGAGAAGGACAGTGCTTTGGACATTAAGTTATATGAGATTATTATTATTGAAAAGTTTAGTTAGTTGTCAAGGATTGGCATCTGTGAAAGTAAAAAAAAATACATATTATTACGGCCATTAAATCGTGTAATAAAGGTGTTTTATTTATTACAAATGTCTAAACGATTTTTATGACATCGATTAAAGAGCGTACGATCCAATCCGTGGAACGATTCAGAGGCATGTGATCCATTACGATCCAAAAAATCGATTCAAAGCAAAAAATCGTGCATCCCTATATGAATATGATACCAATAGGAACGTGTTTTGTTTGCAGAGACCGCAACCTTAGGGGCGTCCGTCTGATGTGGAACAAGGGCGAGCCACTTCCGATCAAAACTGCCTGGAACCCGTTCAGTCGGGAAGTTCCTTTCATTACCTTCGCATCACATCCTATTTATTGGCATAAAGGTAGGGTCGTAAAATAGTTTTTAAATTTGATTACTGGTTTAATAGCAGTAGAGCTCCTTATGACAGAGTGTCACGGGTGTCAACCCAAACTCATGAGAGAAATAAATGTAGGCCATACAAATATTTCACTTGACCACGGAATCGAACCCGGGACCTCTGCGTGGCAGACCAGCATGGTGAACTTTCAGCCACAGAGGCATTTATAGATCTTTGAGATTTAAAGCTCTTCTAAGTGGCAATGCAACTGTTGTGGACAGACGTGTCGCTTACCACCAGACGCACGACTTGTTCGTCCCGTTAATTTGTATCTTTAAAAAAACACCACGGTATGAGTTTTTTAAATTTCCAGAGTGGTTTCACGTTCCATAGTAAAAATGTCATACCGTGGTAACAAACACGTAATCGGTGATAATTGTTTAGTTACTAACCATGAGTTTTAAAATCTTTTTTTTTTTTTGCTTAAATTGAGATGTTAATAAATTACTCTGTTTTAGATGGAGACGTAGACGAACGCACAACGTACGACATGGAAACTTTTGCTCAAAAACTGCAAGGCGCGATCGAAGCTATGCCTTCCTCTTCCTGCTGCATACATCATTCACCTATTGTCATACAGAGTTATGTTGGAGTGACGTCTTTACTGCACAATAAGACAAGTATGGGATTCTTCAAGGTCAGAGGGAAATTCAGCTTCTAGGGTTTGTAGATAGGTTTACACGTGCATAATAACGTTTATTGTAATGAACTTAAAGATCATTTTGTCTTTGCGATGTAATCCGGGATAGTACGTACCTGATAAGGGCGTATGCGGATATAGGTACGATGTGTAAGGTTAAAACAATTTTTATTCCACGAAAACTTACTTTTTTTCGGTATTCCTTGCGAATGGCTGAAATAAGCAATTTTAACGTATAGTCACACGCTATGAGGAATTCTTAAAGCACCCTGTAAACGATCCAATTTGCTTGTCAAATTTACCCTTGAAATTTCTCGATTTCTTCAAACAATGCCTCACAAACGATTAATTCGAAATTCAAACAATTTTGCCTGTAGTTCAGACTTAATCTTTAGGCGACAACAGACGTTTTGCTTGACAACGGTTATTCTCGGACTAGTGTACACTATCTAATTTCCGTGGCAATTTTTATTATTTCAGTATTCGGTTTTGTTATCTTGCAATATTATTTAATATTCGAGTATTGTGTCGTGAAATATTATTTAATAATTACACGATAACACACTTGAATATTTAAATAATAAAAATTGCCACGGAAATTAGATAGTGAACACTAATCCGAGACAGAAAACAGAGAACAGAAATGTCATTTAATTTATTTGAAAACTATTCTGCCATATCATTACTGTGACAACTGCGCTTCGATTGGCCAGCCCGAATTCGAAACAATTGACGGATGTCGTCAATGGGTGTCGTCAATTGTTTCACTTCAACTCGACCAGTTTAAATTGAGCGTTGCTATAATGGACGAAAATTGCAATATTACATATTTAATATTTAATTACCGATGAAATGTGATTCCGTTTGGTTTTTAATTAGATGTTTTGCTGTTTTTCCCACACCACCGAACAGGCCTCATTGTTAGAAATGTTATCTTTATTACAATAAATACAGAATATTTTTTGAATATACGAAGACGTACACACAGGTCAATTGTTGGCGCTGTACTATTTCAATTTTCTAATTTATGTTTTTAGTGCAAAAGAGATTTATTATGATGAGTTGCCAGGGATGGATGGCCCTTATTTCATCTCTATTTCAGGTTATATACTCGATGTCCGAGAATAATCGACAAATATTTCAGCATACGTTCAATTTTGTCAAAAACGCTGTCAATTTAGATTCCATGAAATATATTAAATTATTTGACAAACCTGTCTAACACGATTACAAAAGACAGAAAGTTTGACTAACACGTAAAATTCGACAAACTTTACTCAATTTATACCGCTTTCTGTAAAATCGTTTCAAAACCTGAAGTGTAACGCATCGCATTTAACCCAGCGTACTACTGAGGTTTTATCATTCATAAATACAAAGACTTTTTGTTGTGTGTGTACGCTCTAAGGTGTTTTCATCGATGATTACGTATATTAACTAGAATGGCATCGCCGATAGAAGAAAGATGAAATATAATTATAAAAATTAATAAATGCTATATACTAACTTATAAATAGATAATTAACGATTTCAGAGCTGCGCCGGGAGGTAAGATGCGCAAGATTTGCGTGGCACTATTACCCTCACCATGTCATTGATTTTGTCTTTAAACAAAGTCTTATTAAGTTTTTCGTAGCTTTTATAATTGTTAAAGTTTAATATTAAAGTTTACTAAAGTAGTTTGAGCGTTAGGGAGTTCTTCTATGGGGGCCCTTTTCTAACCGCGGAAAACAAATAATTATTTTGGGCTCATACAGATTGTGCCGGCCGTAAGCGCGGCTCTGGATTCAGAGACTCCCTTGGTATTGAATTGGAAAAGCGTTAGAATTATCCAATAATATGACGAATATTTAAGCATCAAAATTAGTAGAGACGAGTATTCAAAATGAGTACAGATGAGTGTCAAAAATGAGTACAGATGAGTGTCAAAAATGAGTACAGACGATTGTTAAAAATGATTACAGCGGAGTACTCAAAATGAATTGAGACAAATACTCATAATGAGTAGAGAGAAGAATTCAAAACGAGTACAGAGGAGTATTCAAATTTTTTTCAAAATTTAAAATGAATAGAGACTAGTATTTAAAATGAGTACAAAGACTTTGCTTAATAATAGTCTTTGGTCGGTCTGTGTCCGAACCCACCTGGTATCACGAACCAATAAGTACCAATGCTGTGTTCCAGATTGTAGTAGGGAGATACAGTGAAATCGAAACGCAGAACACTTAAGACCTGTGCATTTTCCCACGGCGTGCAATGTATTGGCGGTATTAAGCGTACTTGTTTAGTACCATGAATGGCTGAATACGGTAGTATCCACTCCAGTTGAACCGTCACTTATAAAACAAACTCAGTCAAGTCTAGGAATTGTTAGGACCGATTCGGGAAAATAACGTTTCTAAATTTATTCAGGTCTCGGTTTTCTTTTTAATACCCCAGAATTGATGTTACAGTTGCAGTGCCACTCAGAGCTTTAAATCACAAAGATTTGAGGGGCACTGCCACTGCGCCTGTCACCCTGAGATATAAGTTGACTAGTCCCATGCTGACATGACTGCTTGGCGGCAGGAATAGGTAAGGTGGCAGTACCTCTCTGGACAATCTCTTTCTTTCACAAGGAGCTCTACTGCTACGAAAAATAAATTATTACTATTCTAATCACTATACATAATGTGACTACATTGTGACGCCATAACGACTTCCGTACGTCAAGAGAAGGGAAAAAATTAAATAAGGAAACGTTTATTATATCTACTTCTTTACTATTCTACTGTGGCACCGGACCCAAGTCTTTGTTTTATAAGACCAGCCGCTTACAAGATAAAATCTTTAGATCTCACGGTTACATATTATTATTTAAGAGTCTATACTACCTCGAATGGCTTTGGTTGATTTCGCATAACAGCGAAAGTGTTGAATCCATTACTTTGGAAAAAATATGCAGTAAAGTTGAGAATATACACTGATTAGCATACGGTGTGAAAACACGATTCCTAAAAATCTTCACTATGGAAAAAAAACACAAACTTACCTCGAAATTATACATGTAAACCGCTGTATTCAATAGGTACTTAACATATGCCAATGATTTTTTTAATATCAATTGAACTAAATAGAACACGTATATACTATGCGATATACATTTTTCAAACGGCTTTTGTTTTGAATAATATAAATTCTGAAATATAGCCAGTTTCCCTGTCGCTAATATTAAAATTTCGAGGTAAGTTTGTGTTTTTTTTTCCATAGTGAAGATTTCTAGGAATCGTGTTTTCACACCGTATGCTAATCAGTGTATATTCTCTTTTTTACTGTATATTGTTTCCAAAGTGATTCAACACTCACTTTTGAGGTTGCAACTATTTTAAATTTCGATTTATTTCTGATCATGTTAGTAGATTGAATTTAATATTGTATTGTGGGTTCGTCTACATTTTGTACACAGTGAGAACTGTGTTGTGTCTGCAGGGGATACATTAACCCTTACCGCTTGAAATAAACGTACCGACGCGAGTGTGTTGTGCGACCTTTAAAGTCGATAATATTTATTGTTAACAACTCGTCGCATTAACGTGGAACAACGTTATGAACATATACTATTTTTAAGATAATAATCTTCCAAGTGCGGTAAAAATAGTGTACTATTTAATATCAGATAGTAGGTCGCCCATTTGCAGGACGGTATCGCAAGGAATCGCATACAGAAACATCTCTTCAGATCAGTCGTAACGTTGCAAGCTGGTGTATTATAGTTGAAGAAATATTATATGCACCGATAAATGCTATCTCTTAGAGCGACCTATCCTTTCTATTACAATAGGGTAATAAAACCATTAACAATTCTTCTACTTAAAACGTACATGGACATATCTTGGTCCATCGTACCAGTCAAGGGTGCGTTAAATGCTTTTTCTGAATTCTAGTTTTGAATTATGTATTTACTCATCAGGTCTTTTTTTAAATTGCCAAGTATTATTATTGTAGAATACCGACTGCCGACTTTTTATTACTAATTCAAAAAAGTCAATTCTGCATAAAGATTACAAAGTTTAGAATTAAGTGCCAATGCGTAAAAGTGTTTAAACTAGTTGTTTGCACTATACATATGGCACGTGTGTTACCGAGACGGCTCACTTTTTGTCCTTTTGTAAAGATGAAACGAAAAGACGAATCGGTGCAAATAATATTTCGCCAACTATACCAGTTTTATATTTAAAAATGGTAGATTGAGACTTAGTTCTGCTCACATCAATTCTTGTTGAAGAAGAGGAAGTGAACTATGTTCCCAGAAGGGAAGGAAGGAGGAACAAACTTTGGAAGCCTGCCGAAACAAGGCAGTCGAGGCATTCCAAAGTCTGCCGGTTTGGTATCCCTAAACTGACGGCTTTGTTTTTCTAGCTACAACCATTATTTTATTTTGGCTAAACAGACATACATTTTTAACCTTAACATACTTTTAGCACTTTTTGGATAGGCCAATTACAGTTATCCAATGAAATGATTATTGACAGTGGATGTACTTGTTACTTAAAAAGTACCAAGAATAAAAAATAAACAAAATAAAATAAAATAATCCTGTCTCTGTTAAAATAAAAACTTCTGTCAAAAAAGGCTTAGGTTGATTGTGACAAAAATATGGTACATTTTTCTGCCATATTATTTTTTTTACAACTAAAATTTATTTTATTGATATTAGAGCTATCAGCTGAATAAGCTACTCGGAACTGAGAGTACTTATTTTTATTGTTGTAAATGTAGCTTTTGCATAAAGTGATTGTAGCTACTTTAGATTAATGGATTTAAAAAAAAGACTAATTGTATTGTATTCAGTCTAAATGTCTGTAAAATATTTATTAATGTTTTAATTAAAGCAAACGAATTGACGGTTAATGAAACTAATTTAAGTTAAATTAAGATATTGAAATGAGTAAGATTGACAAGTAACTGGTTGTCATATTGAAGAATGGTCGACATTGGCCATTGTTTTAAGGTTAAAAGTTACTTGTTAGCCGTTTTAAAATGTTCTATTAGCAGAGTATATTTATCTAAATTTCAAGTAATAGTGTGTCGATCATTATAAAACTGGTTAAGTCCATATTTTAAAACACATATTTTTGCTTAATGTATCACATTTAGTCTCATATCTTTCATTATAATATAAAAGTGAAGCTACTCCAATAATTGCACTAACATATCCATTAGATGGTATTACTAGTTTACTCAGAGAACTAAAATTACTACACATTAATTTGCTAAAAGCTAATTATTTAAAAATTTTATTACAAGGATTATTGTAATTCACTTTTACTATGAACGACACATATATAGAACGGATTAAATCGAATGGATTAAATGAAATCACGTAATGAAATTTCTACTTAGAATTACAAAACTTTTCCTCAAAAATATACTACCATAGTAAACTAATTGCACGTTACACATAAAAAATGTAGAATAAAATATAATAATTCTGAGATTTCAGAGGAGAGGTATTATCAGCTCTATGTGTACTACTTTCTTGAAGTTTAGGTAATTATACTCGTAATATATTCCGGTCTATGGCTATAAAGTAAGAATGTTCTAATTTAATTATTTCCAGCAAGTATTTTTAGTACTAGTGTTATTGGGTCATTCTCGGGTTTAGTATCATCTGCCTAATTAACGTTGCAACTTTGATTATTTAAATATTCGACTATATCGTCGTGAATATTCAGTATTATATAATCAGCTACCTTGAATATTAAATAATCAACGACCAATGACCGTTTAAATTTATATTGTCTTTCTCTGTGGCTGTGCGTCTTTAAGAATGTGATTGTTTTTAATTTTGTTAAGTTTAAATAATGTTTAATTTGTAGTGCAATGTAAAGTTATAAGGGTCTCCCTACACCAATAGTAAAACGACATAATATCGTATAAATTTAGAACGATTATATTTGGAGAAATCTGTAGACTAAGTGGAATTTATTTGAGATTCAAGAAAATGATAACATTGTTAAACAAAGCCTTCGTGTTCTCGCTTTAGAAGGAATTTTGTTTTTATTTATTCGAAATGGTGTAACAAATTATAATATACAATAATTATAATGTCGCAACGTTTCTCCAGATGTGTTTACCATTTATTTATTTAGCTGAAAATGTTGTTAATGACCTACTTAAGAGTTATGGACTTAAGAAATCTATTACCAGAAGTGTTAAAAGTTATAAAATCACCAAAGTATTAACTGAGTCTAATTATATATTTAGCATATTCTTTTGTATATAGTAAGTAAATGCAATGTTGAATCTTTGCTTTGTTGTAATATTATGTAAAAATATTTGTTGGCTCTTGTCATTATATCTTATTCTACAAATTAAATTATTGCTCTCACATTGTAGTTTTACTGCTTCGGCTTGTAGACTGTAGTAGCTTGCTCCGCTTCATATTTGTCACATTAAAGGTCTATCCGCGTACATCAGTTCCGACACGTGACGGTCAGTGGCGTGAACGTCAGTGGCGTGAACGTCAGTGTCAGTGAAATGTGATATTATACCATACATTTTGTATGGAGCTATACGTATTTGTCACTGTCAATATTTTATTTTATAATTAATTCTATTCTATTCTATTCAATAATGGTGTCTTTACTAAGTAATGGTTGGTCGAGAGGTCGGATTATCCAGTGTAAACATTGAGGGTGCGTTCCCATTATGTCGTAATCTTTTATTTATCGTTGGACGACTGTCGCGTCTAGCCTGTTCCAATACTACGATTATCTGTCGTGACCGTGTCGTGAACGTTTATTCTATCGTTGAACGGCTATCATGTCTAGCTGTTCCCACTAGATCATGACGATAATTTGTAGTTGCGATTATCTTCCGTCATATTTTTATCGTGACGTTTTATTTATCTTCCGATGACTGTCGTTCTAACTCTTTCCATTGTCTCGACAGTCTGTCGCCGTAACGTCAAAAAAGACGTGAACGACCGTGTTGTACTATATGTGAACGACTTCATTTATATATACAAGTCACGACACTTTAAACTGCACGACTATCTGTCGTCACGACATAATGGAAACGCGCCCTTAGTCGTTTGACGACCGTAGTTCGCTGCCAAAGTCGATCGAGTCGACTAGGTGTAATCATTGACAGATTTGGTCGTCTTCGTCAAGCGGCGGTCGATCACACTACACGTCGGCGTCCGCATTAAGGAGTGCGAATAGCTCCTCACTGATCGTCACGTGTCAGCACTAATGTAATATGTATGTATTGACCTTTATTAGGATGTCGATGGATGTTGTCCCTTACAAACTATTGAACGTAATTTACTATATCTGACCTACTAAACAGAATTACTTACATTATGAATCGAACTGTTAGTTGCTTTTGATCCGAAATCTCGTTTCAGTTTATAATCCGTTAGTATTAGTTTTTTTAACATGAAGGTGAATAGTTAAAGTTAATGGTTGCAGCGAAAATTACGTAGAACTACGATTTGAAAAATATCTAATAGCTATAATCATGTAACAATATATCTAACAACGCTACAATCATTTTCTAGATAATATAAACATAGACTATTTGGAGCTATTTTTAGTAAGGCGGTGGTATTTTACTATTGTGCATTTTATTAGTAAGAAAAATCTTGGTCGTCCCATTCGTTAGGAAAATTCAAGTTGTCCCAGAAAGAATCTTCAACATTAGCGAATTCGGGATCAAATTCGTTTGTGGTAATTTCTCTGACATATCTAATATTTTCTACCCAAGACAGGTCATCTTCAATTTTCTTATTATAAATATTTGGTATTGCTGTCTGAATTACTTTTTTATTTACATTAGTTGAGACTTTATTGTTAAATATTTCTGTATTTATTCCAGTTGATATGTTAACTTTGTAATTTTCTTTTTGGCTCTTCAATTCTCTATTGTAAATTTTAGTTCCACCGATATTAGATTTCTTAAGTTTGTTAGTACCATTTTGTGTACTGTCACCATCTTGTTTTGTTTTTCTTTTGCGACGTACTGTCTTAATTTCTTTCGATTTGTTTTTGTCGTCTCTTTTTTTGCAAGGTTTCCTTGCATTTAAGTCGATTGCAACATTTTCATTTGATATTTGAGTAATTGCTTGAGCACTCTTGTTTGGCAATGGTGGTGTACATTTTACTGTTTTTAGTATGGTTGGTTTAGTGACTTCTTCGTTCAATTTTATAATACTTTTTTCTTTAAGTGTATAATTTTTCATATTTTGTGTTAAGCTAATTGTTTTTTCTTGAACATTGGTATTGTGCACTGGGCCCGATTGTGTTTTCTTTTGGTTAAAATTATCACGAATATTTAAAGATTGTTGAGCTACTTCTGCGCGATTCATAACTTTAGTAATAGCATTCTGTACTATGCTATTAACTTTCGTTCCTTTTGTATTACTAGTTTGGTTAGGTTGTATGACGTGATTAAAATGTTCCAATACACTCTGAGATTCATCCATTTCTGACTGATCTTCGATATCTATTATTGAAAGGCTGGACATTGCTCTGTGTACATCAACGTCAACGGTACCACTATTAAATCGATTATCTTCCTCATCGCTGCATAGATCCACAATTTGTAATTCGTTATTATTGAAGCATCCCTTATCAAAAATTTGCGTAGAAGAATGTGACTCTATATTATTTATGACGTTTTCTTTACAAGCTAAAGTGGCTTGAGTATATAATTTGTCCTCGTCAGGTAAGGAATACACAGGTGAAACACAAGTCTCGGGTTCATTTACATCGATGTTTTCAGTGTTTTGTTTCTTTGTGATTTCTGGGTTTACGGCTATTTGTTCATTTATTATGCCCGTCATACATCTTGTTAGTTTTTCTATCACCTAATGAAAATTGTTATATAATGATTATTATTGGTGTCTTCAGTGTATCATAAACAACATTAGACTACCTTGGTGGCCCAACGATTTGTAATGTAGGCACCGGGATGAGGAAATCCTGGGTTCTTTTAAAAAATACATTAAAATCTCTATTAAATATTTGCTATCTTTAACATTTAATAAGTGCGAGTTGTAAAACTTTAACAACCCCGAAATTTGGACTTAAGAAAATGGTACTTATTACATCACTTTTCAATTTGTCAGTCTTAACTAAATACCTATGTGCTAAAAGATATTGACTTACCTGCATTGAATGTATATCATTACAACAATGCTGTTTATAACCAGCTATCTCATCAATGTATTCTTTGGCTTCTATCAAACAAATCGGTTTGTTTTCGTAAACGTATTCTTCAAGTCGTAAACTAATCTTCAGCAA